GGAAAGTGCCGAAGGTAGGTTCAATTCCGGCAAGTTAAGATCGAATTCGAAGAGATCAGAAACGGAAATAATTTATCTTTCAACCGTAGAGATTCGACGGACCGCGAAGCTTCGATTCCTAAAATCATCTGTTTAGCACTGAAAATGGTGGCTTTGTAAATCGAGCAGAAGTCATCTACAGCTATTACTTGGCGTTCGGAACATTTCAAATGGATGTCATTCCAGATTTCTTTCAGCATCTGATGCGAACGAACCTCCTATAAGTCATACTTCCACATCACCATCAGCGCGTGGAAATGTCTGCCGTTCAGCGATCAGATGAAAATGAGCTGCAGGGAAAAGTTCTCCCGGCATGCTTTGCAAGTCGTGTCCAACACCGCCTGGGTGACCCTAGACTAATCAAACCTCAACTTACGTACAGGTAAGTCTGGCTTAATTTTTCAAATATTAACGTTAAAAGCCGACGTTTCGGCGTATCGTGAAACCATTCTCAAGGCAAAGTGAACAAGTAATGCGAAGATTTGATTTCTATACAGTCTCTACAAATTAGCATAATAACAAAGGGTCACAAGCTTTTCAAGTGAATACCTTTGTGCGAATCGAGTCCGTTTGCACGTTTAGGGATGGTTTAAGTTTTCTTATCGAAAAAGCATCTCCTTAATGAGGCAAACGGACTCGATTCGCGCAAAGGTATTCATTTGAAGAACTTGTGATCCTTTGTTATTATGCTAATGTGGAGACTGTATAGAATTCAAATCCGTGTTCGCATTATTTATTCACTTTGCCTTGAGAATAGTACGTGTCACGATGACGCCGAAACGTCGGCTTTTAACGTTAATATTCGCCTGCTAATGTTTTAAGAAATCGTTATTGGACGAGGTTATCGCTGGTGAATAAGTATTTTTTCATAAGACTACTGTTTTTTTCCGGCCGAGGCAAACGGACTCGATTCGGGCAATTAACGTATTTACTTGAAGAACTTGTGATCCTTTGTTATTATGCTAATTTGTGGAGACTGCATGGAGATCAAATCTTCGTATTATTTATTCACTTTGCCTTTTGAATGGTGTCACGATGACGCCGAAACGTCGGCTTTTAACGTTAATATTCGCCTGCTAATGTTTTCAGGAATCGTTATTGAACGAGGTTATTGTTGGTGAATAACTATTTTTTCTCAAGAATACTGTTTTTTCTCGGCCGAGGCAAACGGAATCGATTCGTCCAAAGATATTTACTAGAAGAACTTGTCATCCTTTGTTATTATGCTAATTTGTAGACACTGTACAGAAATCAAATCTTCGCATTATTTATTCACTTTGCCTTGAGAATGGTGTCAAGATGACGCCGAAACGGCGGCGTTTAACGTTAATATTCGCCTGCTTATGTTTTAAGAAATCGTTATTGAACGAGGTTATCGCTGGTGAACAATTTTTTTCTTTTTTTTTTTTTTAAATAAGAATATTGTTTTTTTGTTTTTTTTCGGCCGAGGCTGAATATCCATATTTTCCTACCGATTTTACGCTGAAAATATTCTTGTGAATATTCTTAGATTATAACATATGATATATATTTTTTTTTCGAATGTATTTGGTGTCTGGATGGTGTTCAAGTAATTTTGGAGCCAGGCTGCAGGCATTTAAGCCTTATATGACGTACATAACTTCTTGCAGAAATCTTATTAGCATGGAAAAATTAACCCTTTGACGCCCAAGTGGCCATATACGGCCACTTAATGGTGGTGCTCTTTGTACCACTTGTGACGTCATCAATTTAAACGTCATCAGATCTTCTTGATAAGCAGATAGTAGTACTAGGCTAGGCCTTTCCGCACAATGGTCAGGTTTAGATATCGACGACATTCCGACGTCGTAAATCCAAAAGCAACGTTATCAGTTTCGGTGCAAAAACGGTGGTAAAATGGTCCACTACGCCTATGATTGATCAAGGTCCATTTCTAGGCTTCGCCCGTAATTAACATCCAACTTTTSACGGCAGCCAGAAAGAACATACAACGCAAAAGGTAGCCAGTGTAAAAGGGCCGAGAAAAACAGAAAGGAAAGGGGGCAACAAGCAAAATTGAGAACGGTTAATGGCAAAAACAAACAAACAACAAAAAAAAAAGTACAAATTTTGGCTTATGCGCATGCCCGGATTTGAAATTTTGCTCAATTATGTGCCTAATCCTCGTAAAATCTCTCCTTTTAGTAAAAAAAAGCTTTCTTAGCAAAACTTAGGCTTATTTAGCGTCATGGCAGCTGAAAAACCTCACTAAACGGTTTAAAACGGCATTTTTTGGCTGAAGTTTGGTATTCAAAGGGTTAATATGGCTAATGCTGTTTTTGTTCATTTTTTCTTGTTTTGATGTTTGGAGAAAGGAAACATTTTACATGGTTCAGTTAAAAGCATATAATTGTATTGTATTGTATTTATATTATATTCCTTTCAAAACCTCCGCCTCGGGTTTTTTACTTAAAATTTCGCAACTTTCAACCTCGACATTTTTATAAAATATATTCATATAATAAAGAATGTATCTGGGTTTCAACAGATTGTTTTGGGGTGTTTTTTCTTTCTTTCTTTTTGGAACGTGCCTGATCATGAGTCAGATCATCATGTTGTGCACTTTCAGTTTAGTCGGTGAAATTGAAGTCAGCATGTAAACACGAAACACACGTCAACATTGCCGTGATATTCCATAGTGTCAACGAGACAAACATTTTTTAGTATACTCAAGAGATTATGGTATAATTTATTGAGGAAAAACATAACAAGATTCTAATGATCTCCAGCCAATTAAAACATGTTTTTTGTTTGTTTGTTTGTTTGTATGTTTGTTTTCATGTACATGTCAGGAATTTACTCTTTCGGAGGGAGGGGGATATCAGGGAATTTCTGTTTTACGTGATAGAGTTTTAAGGAACCCTTTTTCGCATCCTTGTTACTGGCACACGCTCTGAGCCGGCTGCTACCATGTTGTTAAAAAATTTATTCCCGCTCAAGATCAAACCTTATCCAGCTTTGACCATTCCGCGGAGCCCCCGTTTCTTTTGGTCACGTGGTGCGAACGACATTTTAAGACGAGTAGCACTGGGGACGAGAATAAGCTTTGACTTTCCCGCGAACCTAGTGCTGCCCTGAGGTAAACGATCCCTTGAACTGCACTAAAACTGCAGGCTTATATTAGAGGCTAACTTCTCCAAGTTCTGTCCTTCGTAAATGGTTTGTTCACCTTGAAAGATCAACTCTTTTCAACAGGAAACTTGCTAAAAGCTGGCTGCGGGGAAGGGTGACCTTCCTACCAATGGCTTTTACCCCTTTTTTTTTAGTGTGCGCAGCGTAAAGTTGTGCAACAAATCATTGTAGGCAATCTCCTGCGAAACTGAGAGTAATCTCTTGGTTTTGTCTTTTTTTTCTTTTTGAATCTGTTTTGTTTCTTTGTTTTTGTTTAGTTTGCAGGGAAGATAATAAGTTTGTCAAGTCATAATTGGGGACGTCGAAGAACAATTAACCGATCTCGTATAGTATTATGTCCTGTTGCGGACAAATTCCTGTCTAAAATCAGCAAATATTGACTCGGGATTTACGAAACTACTTGTGAAGTTTGCATGCGATTTAGTACCCTGAGCTAAACGAATCTAATCGGAATGTAGCAAAAACACAAAAACCATGAATCAAATAAAAGAAGCTAGTAATCTCGATATCCATAAATTGCGTCTGTACCGCTTATCTTTTCCAGCCATCCCAGCAGCTACTGACTTTTGGTGCCGATATGTCGATCGCGAATATATTCACCGTCCTGTTAATACTTTACTTTTCTTGTGGGGAGGCTTTGCCGGTAAGTATGAAAATTAGTCCATTTTACAGTCTCGTGCTTAATGGCCAGGCGTAGTCAATCGAGAAAAACTGATATCGGAAATCAATCGATTCAATCGATATCAATCGGCGATTGCTATCGATTGATAACGGCAATCGATAACAATCGATAACTCAGAGAAAAATTTCTTTATCGATTGCTATCGATGGGCAAAAATCGATAAACAATCGATAATTCCTGTCTTCACAGGAGCCATAATCGGGGACGGAGACCGTAAGTCTCGGGATTCGCGCGCACCTATGATATGGGACAATTTTTCTATTTTTAGAACAAATTGCGCCAT